CCCCCCCCGGTGGTGGGCCCCCCTGCTGCCGGTGCATTGGCAGCTCTCAGCAGCTGGGGCTGGGTGGTGGGGTGTGTGCAGGCCCGCCCTGGTGGCTGCCTGCGGGGGCCTGGGTGCCCTGGCTCTGTCGGGCCTCTGTTGGGGGGTGGTATGACCTCGGGACTCGGGGCTCGGTGTCCATGGCCGGATCCACTCTGGAGGGGCAGGTTGCCGGCGGGGCCTGTTGACTCGTCGCTACGGCCTCCTGGGGGTTTCTGCATTGTGGTTGCTGGGGGTCGCCCGGGGCTTCCCTTTGCTTCTCTCTCTGAGGGGTGCGGGTGTCCCTGTTGAGGGACTACCGGAGTTCCGGGCTTGGGGGCCGCTGTGTGTCTGTGGTTCTGGGCTTCCCTGTGTTACCTTCGTGTCCTGGGGGACGGGTCTGTGGGTCCCCACATCCACTATTGAACTTTTTTGGAGAAACCTTATAGTGACATCATGCTCACACAGATGTTTAGATCCAGGTGTTTATCAGATACACACTCAGTTGGGTTGTGGTGGCCATCAAATATATCTTGTATTACCATGTACTGTATAAAATACTTTCTAATGATGTTATAAGTATCATTATATAAGTTGTTTCTCTCTCTCTCTCTCTCTCTCTCTCTCTCTCTCTCTCTCTGTGTGGGAAGAGCTCTGTGCTCCTCATGGGGAGGACATTGACAGCATCACGGACTGTATCACAGACTACGTCAATTTCTGTGTGGACAGGCGTTTCACAGGTTGAACATCTGGGAGATAAAGTTAGGGAGGCCAGACTGAGATGGTTTGGACATGTCCAGAGGAGGGACAGTGGGTATATTGGTAGAAGGAAAAAGACAAAGAGGAAGGCCAGAGAGGAATATATGGATACAGTTAGAGAAGACATGAAGGTAGTTGGAGTGAGGACAGAGGATGCAGAGGACAGAGTGAGATGGAGGAGGATGACTCGCTGCGGCGACCCCTCAAGAGGGAAAAGCCGAAAGAAGACGAAGAAGAAGATGACCAGCACCTTGCTATAGTTCCGAATCAGAAGGACTCTCTGGAGGACAGTTGCTTGTTGATGACTCACCGGTCACTAACGTGTCCTCTGGAATCTCCTCAATGATGCATTTTTCCTCCTGCTCTCCGAGATCAAAAAACATGGCTGCTGCCAGCGTGAGGTAACACTGCAGGAGAAAGCCAGCTCCTTGTAAACCCATTTTATTTTAACGACACACGATTAGATGACGGTCCACTGACAGTGACAGAACGGTTGGCTGTAGTTTGGTAAATGTGCAGGTTGTTTCTCTTGCTTTTCATGTGGAGGCGTCTGAGCCCTGCAGCGTTTATTTAAAGTGGACGGTTTGAAGGTTGGAGGGTGAGAAACCTGCAGGTGTTGTTTCTGGGACGAGACGTTCTGTGATCAGCAGGAAAACTGTTAAAGCAACCCTGAACTAGGCGTTTATTATTCAGCAGGGCCTTCTGTCCAAAGCAGACAATATATTTAGGTGCTGATATGAAAGGAACATTTAACACAGATAGTAATATGTAATGTCTGAGGGTTCACTGTACAGAATGTATTTACTGAAGATTAGACAGAGTCTGATCTGTATTTACATCATTAACTGAAAGTTGGAACAGCTTGAGCTCTGACCTGATTAAAGCCAAGCAGGCGCTTTAATTATTTAATGAAAAGGCTGGTCTCCACAGCGTAGATCTACCTGCCTAACTCTACACACCCAACTAAGCCTAATCTTATTCTACATCTGCAAAAGTCTGAAGTGAAGAGACATTTCCGTTTCCACCCACATTCAGTGGCGTGACAAGAACATGTCACTCGTAAATCAAGCCTTTTTTCATCTTTGATAATGCTGGAAGCTCCTACTAAATTATATAATCAGCAAAATGGGTGTAATAAATTGTAGTTGGGTTTATTTGGATAGCTCCAGTTCATGCGTTTTATTTATTCTCGAGTTTCTGCGAGGTGGATATCAGATGTTCTTTCAGTTTCAGGTGCTTTCCTGCAAGCATTTGGTGAACTAATTTAAACAGCTCGTCTTTTTTATGAGCAACACTTCATCTGAGTGAATCCGATCCAGAACCTTCAACCTGCATCACCAAGCGTGGTATCATTTTTCTCTAGTCCAGTACCGGCAGCATTACTAACACTGCAGCCAGATGGAAGGAAGCCCAGATGTGGCTTCACGTGTCATCGGGCACAGACTTACATTTTTTTTAATGCTTAACTAAGTTAAGCAGCTAAAACATTCCACTCCCCAAATAAAATAATGAAATAAATGAAGAGACATGGTTCATTCGCTCTTACACAAAACATTTTTTGTACATTTTATTCTTTTTCTACAAAAACGTACTCTTGTGTTAGATGTACGTGTCATTAACGTGAAGGAATTGAAGTATTACTGTGAGCTCAGTGTGTTCTGTACAAACAGGTGAAAATCCTGTCAATAAATAGACTTTTCTCAGGAAACAGGCCCAACATGTGTCAGCTGCCATAGTTTGGATGCTTCATCGTTGAGGAGGGTGAAGGTGTGGAGGAGAACATGGGTTCTCCAGTTTACATTTGTCTCCTCAACAATGAAGCTTTAATCTGTTTTCAGCTGCAGCTACACTTGATTTGTCTTTTTTAACCATTTAAAATTAGAGTTACTGTACAAATCAACATTGTTTCATTTTGTCTGATACAAAACTGAATAGATTTTTAAATGCTTTTTTGCCAGCGTACACCTCTTTAGTGCTGTTACAGGCATCAACATGGCTTCAGGACGATAAATCTGTCAGTTTTCACAGAATGATGAGGCGTCGTGTGAGCATCAGGCAGATCTTTTACTGTTCTTTGACCATCTCTGTCCCTTCCTTCCTTTCCTAGACTTCTTGTCCTTCCTGTCCTTCCTGTCCCTCCTGCCCCGGCCTAGTCATAAACAGTTGTCTGGGAAGCACTTCCTCTCCTCCTCCAGCAGGGGGCAGGCTGCTCCGTTGTTGGCTGGCTGCATTATGACGTAGCGTGTGCGGTGCTGCACGCCTGAGTCTCCACATTTACCTTTGCACAAACCCCAGGGGGACCATACGGACACCTCGCAGTCCAGAGGGGTATCTGCAGAGAGAAACACGCTGCCGTCACATTTGATCTGTTTCTTGATTTATACTCACACCACCTCCTTCCACCTCCACATTGGATGCATCATAAACAACGATGAGTCCAGCTGCAGGCAATTCAATTCACTTTATTTACTGTATGTTGGATCAAGGAAACGTTATGGATCTTCAATAGTTATTGGTATTTAAAAGTGTAATAAAATAATTCTAGCTCTCTATAAACCTTTAGCTTTTTGTGTTTAATTCTCTGCAGATGATGTGCTGCAGGAATTCTTGAATTTATTTTAGTTTTATTTATTAACCCAGTTCCTTATGCTTGTTTTTAAATGTATTTTTCAAAAGGATGATACCAACGATGACCTGTCATTCCTTCTGGCTTTCACTCCTCATTTCTCTGACATCCTGAACTCGCTCGGCTGCTTCAGCCAGTTGGGATGTGTGCTAAGGTACATCTGATATGTATCACAGCCGTGGGCTACAAAGTAGAAAAGCAGAAGGGTCGGAGGCGGTACGGAAGCTGCAGAGATGGACAGATGCAGGAATCGAACCTTAAAATCACGTCATTTTCCTTTTTGTCCGTCTGCTTGTCAGAACTGGAAAGATAAGCTGATAAGATGCTGTCAAAAGCAAAGCTGATTTAGATCCATCAGTGTTTTACTGGTCAGCTAAGATCTACAGATGGTGAGTGTGATGACTCAGGAAAGCTTTGAACAGGCTGCAGAAGCAGAACACAGCAGAGATTGATTGGATAAGAGGAGGACGATAAACAGATGGTGGGAAAGGATGGAGAACCGAGCAGGAAACCCCACCAGACTGTTGGCTACGTTCTGTTTGTTCGTGGGTCGTCCGGGGAACAGACGAAGGGAACGTGATGCTGACTCAGACACGTACTGTCAGCTACACCATGGATTTGATTCAAGCTCTGTTTGGTCCCTCTCCATCTGCTCACGCACACTCATGTTTGTGCTGCTGTTGTTCGGCGTATTGTTTTTGCACTCTTAAGTGTTTAGCATATTTCTTAGTTCATATTTTAGATATTATGACTGTTTTGCTTTTACATTTTATACTTTGTTGGATGTAACTGGGACTCTGTGTACACAATTTAATTCCAAGTGACAATAAAGAAAACACATGACCTTGACCTTCCCTCACAGTTAGGTCATGTGTTTGAGCTTTCCTTCATGATGTGATCACAATGTTTGACTGCAGCATTGATTCTTGGCCTTTGCTTAATTAGTTTTTTCTTTACCAGCTTCTTCCTTTTTGTAGCTACTTTTTGTTGGACTTTTTATGATTACTGCATGTGAAGTCTTTTATATTCTGGGAAGTGTTTACAGCTCCACCTTCTAGATGTTTGGCTGTGTCCCATTTGGGTCTGGACCTCATCACTTGTCCCACCCTTCATATTCTGCCTGTCTTGTTGCTTTCCAGATGTGCTCGTGGCGTGTTCTGGTGCCATGCTCTCACTTGGCTTCTCTGGTTTCTGCTTTGAAGGAACTGAGTTTGTGTGTGGCCATAAATGTTTCCCAAATGCTTCAGAAATTCACAGACATTTGGAAAGTTAGGAATTTTGCAAAACATGGAGCACAATATTTGTTTTATAAGTTTTCAATCAATGCACATTATTGTGCATGCATGTGTTTTTTGCATAACCAATTGTTTTAGTTCAGTTTTATATTCATTACATGCTTGATTGATTCTTATGTTCTTGGACTGACCAGTTTTGACTGTACGTAAAAATGTCTATTCTCCTGTTCATGTGAATGGGTTGGGTGGGGGGCAGGGATGAATTTATGCCATACCATACCATTTAATTTATAGAGCGCTTAAAACAGCTACAAGGCCAACCAAAGAGCTGTACAGACAGAACAACAGGTAACACACAAAGCAAAATACAAAATGAGGTAAATCAGAATATAGACATAAAAACGATGCAGGTAATAAATATGACGACTAACCAGCGTGAAGCATACAGGATCAAACACAGATCATCTGGTGTTGAAAGCTACTGAATAGTAGTGGGTTTTTAAACAGGACTTGAAAACCGAGAGGGAGGGGGCCAGTCTGACAAGCAGAGGTAACTCGTTCCAAAGTCTTGGTCCTGCTACAGAGAAGGCCCTGTCACCTCTGCGCTTAAGAC